TCATATGGTTTAAAACGCATGATTTCAGCGCGATAAACACGATAATCAGAACCAAAACAGATGTTTTTAGCAGGTACAAGCTGTAATGGCACAGCTCTATTCTGGAAAAGGGGGTGGGGAGCAGCAGCTCATTTGCATTTAAAGACACAGGCCTGAAAAACAGCATGTTTCTGCTTCCACTCAAAATAGGCATTTTCAAAATGTTATAATAAATGATCTGTGGAGAATTTTGAGCTGAAACTTCACAGACTTATTCTGGGGACACCAGAGACTTATATTACATATTGTAAAAAGGGGCATAATATGTCTCCTTTAATAAATCTATTTTACACTAGGTACACAAATTAGTTACCTTGACTCAATACGGACAAAACACGTCTCTGATTTGATTGTAAAATTTTTGAAAGAACTACTTTGGAGAACTAGTCCTACGTTTTTGGCCCGATCGGAAAAAAAATGGTGCAGAAAAATTCTCTGGAGTCCGATTGTCAATAATTATCAAAAAAAAAAAAAGGTTGAAATTTCTATTCATAGTCGCTAAGGACCACCAAAACATTCAAAGTGGGTGAAGCCACTTTTACTAAAATGGCTACAAGTCTTGACTGATGAGATATTTTCACCAAACTCTGCACAGATATGTAAGAGCGCATTCTGTTCTGCAGCTGGCCACTTGGTGGTGCTTTAACATGGAAAAGTTTTATATATAACTACGCAACCCTTAGTTTGATTGACTTGAAAACTGGCATGCAGTGTCTTTGTCCAAGGTGCCAAGACTGCCTTTGAGGACTTTAGTGTATCTTAAAAACCACAGCTGCCATCAGCCTTCGTGTTTCTCACGTGTAAAGGATTGCATATCACACGATTTTTTCACACACACCTACGACTTTCGACCACATGGCAGAACTCTTCATTCTGAGCAACTTTGCCTCTAGGACCGCCACTGTCAATCGAATCGTTCGTCAAATATTGGAGATTATTTTCAAAAGCCAACTTTCACTAACTAGTTCTAGATTATTGGCTCAACCTCAATAACTGTTAAAAAAAAAACATACATTTCCTTTGTAAACTGCCTGTGTTGGCTGTGAATGGTCTTTTCACTCTATGATGCAAGTGTTTACATGCTTGCTAAAGAAAACAGAATACTTTTTTATGCATTGATTTAAAGGCCTTAAAGCACTTGAACCCCAATAACTGTTGCTTGCAGCTATAATTTAAATTGATTCACAAGGGTTTAAGCTGGTTTTAGGTCTGGTGTAGCTGGTGTACATATAAAAAGCTACGCTATTCAAAGCTGGTCAACCAGTGTTTTCTGTTGAAGGTGGATGAGTCTAACAGTTAATGTTAGTGGTAAAATAAAAAACAATAGCAACATAATAAAGCATAGTGTTAGCTCTGTCATCTAACGCTCAGCTGATAAAGTTGTTTCTTTTTGAATTGAGTTTTTCTGATGCCACTGGTAGATTTCTTTTTTTTTTTTTTTTAAATAAAGCCCAAACTAATTACATTTTTTTCAGAAAACAATACATTATATCTTATCTTTTTCTTCTTACATTAATGCATATTGATGTAATGGGAAACAAAACAAAAATATTTTATTTTTTTTCCCCCAAGTGTAATGCTCACCTTGGTGCGGTATTTGTGGAAACGCAGTCCGTTCTATCAGTACGGATATAAACAGGCAGGACATAATGACTCATATGTCAAACCAGATCAGTGCATTAATACTTCTTGTAGTACAAAAGACATGAAACAGATGTTTCACTGTTCTGTTTCCATCTCAATCACTTTAGCAGATTTAATAAACCTCTACATACCAAAAAAACAACTATCTGTTCTAATGCTGTTACCATGTTGCTTACATTATTTCTCATATACTGTTCAATGCTAAATGTTACCTTTTAATCTATTTAAAAAAAAATGTATGTCATTTAAATTGGTATGCTATAATAGGTGTGACAATTGTAATGGTATTGGTACTGACTACTGACATTTTCGGATCACCTTCTGAGTAAACAGAGTTTAAGGACATCCCATCTACCTCAAACGAATGTTATTAGGATCAGGCGGTGAGTTACCATCATCATCCTCCTGTAAGAAAACACATTCACAAAAGGTCAAATGAATGAGGAGGTCTGATGTTTAAGTTACACAATAAATAAATAAATAAAATACTCAGCAAAAAAGAAATGTACCTTTTCACTACAGTTTTTTTTTTTTTTTTTAAGATAATCCAAATAAGCTTTACAGATCTTCATTGGAAAGAGTTTAAACAATGTTTTTCATGCTTGTTCAATGAACATAAACAATTTTTGCATGCATTTGTGAAACAGTTCTTAAGACACTAACAGTTTACAGGCGGAAGAAAATTAATGTTAGAGTTCCAATAACTTAGAGCACTAAAGAGACCTTTCTATTGACTGTGAAAAACACCAGTGTAAAGATGCTCTGGGTCTCTGTCTGCTCAGCTGTGTGAAGATGCCATAGACCTGCTGGAGGAGGCATGAGGATTGCAGATGTGGCCAAAGCAATAAACAGCACTGTCTGTAATGTAAGACACCTAAGACAGAGCTACAGCGAGACAGAAGGACAGCTGATCGTCCTTGCAGTGCCAAACCACATGTGACCAAATGAACCCCCAGATGTGTTCGAGAAATTGTCTTGGAGGAAGAGTGGAGTAACATCTCACAGCAAGAATTGGCAAATGAAGATGAGATGCACTGTAGCACCTAAAGCAGCTGCTCAACACAAGAAACCTTTGATATTAACCCTCTTCCATTACTGTTCATCAAATGTCTGTGAAATTTGTTCTGCTTATGTCTCAGTTGTCGAATCTTTTTATGTTCATGCAAATACCGATCCTAGATATCTGGGGGGCTCTAAGCAAAACTTTGTCGGGCCCCAAAATGCTCCCCAACCCCTTAACCTATTCTTTCAGAGCAGTTTCACTGTCAACAAACAACAGTGAGTTTAAAAAAGTCAGTAATAGGCAAATACAACAGAAAAAATAAACAATTTTGCCTATAATAGTCCACTACTCAGAAATTGATTATAGTCATCAAATGTACAAATAACGCACTGCACAGACTTTACCATATAAATTAAACATAAATTGATTCATAACAAAGTTATGAACAATATTCAGTGAAGAGCAGTGAATAATTCTCTCCTTTTCTTTTGTTGTTTGGTTAATAGATGATGACAGACAGCAGCAGGTTTATACAGTAGGATGCTGTCACGGAATGCACTAATATACTGACTAGCATTCTCTTACTTTTCAAACCGTTTATGTACACTTAAGACATAACTGACTGTGACTATGTTTAATGAAAAGTCACCAAGACAGTAATTTTCACATAAACAAAGCACAAAGTAGCCTATATATTACACTTTAAACTCGTTTTTTAGTATTGTGCAAGAACGCCATGGAGACTGTAGCCTATACGACAGTCACGTTACATGAATTGACTGATTTGGATGTTTACGTAGAAAGGGCGACAGCGCACCACATTAAAGGAACATTCATGGTTTCATAACCGCTGGCCAAAGTCAAAAATGAAACTAAAATTAAATCATCAATGCTCTGTGACAAAGGTTGCACTTTGTGTTGTTATATTAATTGTTATTCCGTTTAATTAGGAGTTATTTGTGTTTTTGATTGTTTTGACATTGCCTCACTGTTCTTTTGCTTCTGTGTTGTTAAATTAAATACAAAATAGATAGATGACTATTTACAGTGTACGTATTTGTTTCAGTCGAAAATAAAAAAAGAATTAGAATTATAATAATACTAATATAAAAATGTATTCTTTTTTTGCACAGTAACTCTAATACAGCATCTTGTTAAATCAGCTGTAGGTAATACTTACATTCGGTGGTACTGCTGTATGGCTCCTGCGGTGACAGTAAACCACACCTGCAGCTACAGCAGCAGCAGCCACCAGCAGAACAACAACAACAATTCCTGCTACAGCAGCTGAAGACAGACCTGAATCTGAAACCGCTAAAAACAGACATTATTATTAGAGAGTGAATGATCATAAATCCAATATTTACCAATATCTTCAACTGATATTTACTATTCGTGTGTGTTCATGGTGTGTGTGTGTGGGGGTGCACTTGGATGGGTTAAATGCAAAGCACAATTTCTGAGTATGGAACACCATACCTGGCCACACGTCACTTCAATTTCTACTTTGGTCATCAGTTGTATGACATTGATTTTAACTGATTAATGGCGCCTTCATACAGCACATTCAGCTCAACAGAAAGCAGCATGACTCATAGGAAAACTAGCTGATATTATGCATTTTGCATGTTAATAACATTAGTCAAAGTGATATTGACTCAAAACAGTCCACAGTCCCAAACCCAACACATACTGGGATGTATTGTTTTTTTTTAATTCCTCAAAGGAAAATGCATTGAATGACTCAGTAATGTACTCACCAGTGACAGAAACACTGAATCTCTTCACTCTGGTGATGCTGAACCTGCTGTTGCTGATGATGATCTGCCGTTCATAGAGTCCATAGTCTGTGGTTCTGGTGTTTGTGATGGTCAGAGATCCAGTCTGATGATCCAGCTTCAGTCTGTCTCTGAATCTCTCAGCACACTGCACATATGTACAGATCTTACTCTGATCTCCAGTGATTTCAGAGATAAGAGTGTTATTAAAATACCATGTGATCACATCATTTGGGTGTTTTATTTCACCAGAATCTAGAGTGACAGATTCTCTCTCCTTCATTTCATGTAGTTCAGCAGCAGGAACATCTGAAACACAAACCAACAGCTGCTGGAGGATCTTGTATTTTAAATACATGTATTTTATATAAACACTCATTAAATGACTCACCAGTGATGGAAACACTGAAGATCTTTTCACTGTAGCTGCTACTGATGATTTTC